CTAAAATGAAATTTTAATTCCACCTTGGTGACTTCTTTATTCACTCTCCTTTCTTCTTAAGCAATTTGCTTTTCAAAGAGTTTTCTACATTGAATTTTTCTCTTAACTTTTATAAACCCACCAGCTAACTCTAACTTTCTTGTTCTTGTTACACCAATTAAGCTGCATGTAATCATCAAATTTAGTCAACTCACTACACCATTTATATAAATACTCAATAAAAAATTGGAAATGTTTTCCTCCAAAAAGTGCAGTTATCTTGAAATATCTTCTTTCACCAATCTCTTGAACATTATTGTTATATTATCTGCCATCTTTCATCTGAGCCCCTTGGCTCACTCTTATCTCCTATTTGTAACCAGGTTTTGAATATTCTTCTTCCTATGGTGGTTGTCTCTTCTCCATTGCTTCTATCTCAACTTTAATTTTAAAATTTACCATTCTTGCCCTTTTCTGGACTCCCTGCTAGGATTTTCATCCTCCATGCTGCTGGTAGCTATATTGGCATTTCCAAAACACACGAATTTTTCCCCACCCACAGTTTAGTCCAATCTGTGGTATCCCAAATGTGCCCTGGCCACTCTAAATGTCAGGTACAGAACATTAGAAATTTTATATCTGTTCACTTATTTTCTACACTTCTAATTTTCATTTCTGTATATGTTTTATCAAGTATAACATATAATTTATAAAAAGAAAAACCTATTTATTGTGGAGATTGTACTTCATAATGGGGTGAAAAAAGAAAAAAAAAATCACTGGTTATAGAATCAACTACAAACTCATTAAAAGCTTCCACAGTTCATGATATTATGTATCAAGCACAATGCAAATGTTACACACATTATTTCTAATCCTCACTCAGTTACCTTTTATTGAATGCCATCATAATCTGAACACTATAATAGGCATTTTATACTTAAATCACTCTTTCTTATATAAAATTTATTTGTTTGAATCAATTTCCTTATTTTTTAAAGGAGGTGATTTAAGATGATTTGTATATTGGAATGGGAGAAATATTATCTATGTTTCTTTAACTATTGAATCTAAGTTGGGCTTTTTCTGTTAGAGTAACCTAACTACTAAGCTACTGTAAAAGTGATACATCTCACATTATCTAAAATTCCTCAGTAGTTTTTCCTGTGAAATATTATCCTTGTAGCATTGCTGCCCAGTGATGTTAAGGTTGTTATTATGTACAATGGCTCCATCATAGTCCCTGGATTTCTAGGCTTCTTGGCTTAAGAATTTATAAGATGGCAATATCACATGGAATGAAAATAATTCCTGAATTGAACTCTCATATACACTGTGAAAATCTGTATGTGTCTAGAAGTAAGCAGAATGTCACTAGGCTTCTACTTTGGATGGGATTTGAAGAATGTCTTTATAAATGAAGAACAGAGTCACCCATCCTTATACCTAACTTTTTAATCCAAATCACAACTTCTTATTCAAATACATCCATATGTGATGTTCATATTAATTTTGATCCTAATAAAATCCAAAGCACTTTGTTCTCAGCATATAGATGAAAATTGACTTCATAGAGAATTTTTCTGTTTATTTTGTTTTTTTCTTGGCTTGCTGTTTTATTTATTTTTCTTGAAATGGAAATACAATATATCAAGTCACTTTCTCTTAGAAAATATAAATGCACAATAATTAGGGATGCAGAGAATTCTGAGAAGCACAGGATTAGCCACACAGTAATGTGAGCTCACATCTGCAGCTAGTCTAAAAATATCACACAGATCTAATTCTGCTTCAATGCAAATGTAATTTGCTGGTGACTGTGTTTGTTTCAAACCATCGATTACTTAATATTTTATTGTATTTTTTTTAGCTAGGCTACTGGGAAAATAATGCACCTGTGCAGGCTGATACTACTGTAAGATTGTGATTTACAGTCACAAAAATATTTCAATATTGCTTAGTGATTCTTCTATTTTTTCTTAATGAGCATTCACTCACATTTTCTTCCCTGTTTATTTCAAATCTTGTTAATTCCCCTCTTTCCTCCAAAAACACAATTTCCACCAATCACCTCTTATCTCACAGAGAAAATAGAAGATCCTACAAGAGAAATTCCCCAACTTCCTGCCACCAAAGTTACAAGCTGAATAATCTACAACAATCTTTCCTCTTTCCTCCTACCCTGCGCTGTGTTCATTGCCATTTGCCTTCTTTCATTTGTTTTATTATTTCTTTAGGCATCCCTTCTTCACGATTTTAACAAGATAAAGACTTTCCAATCTTAAAATAACCTTCCAAAAATTTTACATACATACCGAAATACAAAAATATATGACAAGAATTAGAATCCTAGTCCAGATTGTCTGCTGTGCTCATATCTGTATATACCATTGATATCTGGATAGTTCTACAAGAAAGTCACTCAGGCACACTTCAAATTAAGTATATGCTTAAGTGATTCTGACATTCCTTCTCCCTTACCATCTTATTTTTGCACCTGTTATTCCTAGGTTTCCTTCTATCTCCTTATGTCAACAGCCTTCAAGACCTTATAATTCTAGCATTTACATATTTTTGGAGTCCACCAGCATCATTATATTTCTACTGTCACTGTAGTAATCATGCCATCCCTATTATTTCACTAGATTAGTGTTACTGACCCCTCCCAAAATTTTCAACTCTCCCAGGTGTACCCACAGATACATTCCTCACACTCCTACTAAACTGACATCCTTAAAATAAAATTTACTATTGTTAATCTGCTACATAAAATCTACCAGAGACTCCCATTTTCCTTAGATAAAATGTGAGCTCCTTTACCAAAACTGCTGACCCCTTCTTGATATAATCTCTATCTAAATTCAAAGCTTATGTTTTATCATAAGTTCTCTGCCCTTTACACTTAAAAGCTCAACTTCTCTCACTTCTTGGAAAGTATCCAGTGTCACACTCATTTCAAAATCTTTATACAAATATTTTTCTCCTGGAATTCTCCTCCCTTGGCAATTTTCCTAGATGATTCCATTTCATTGTCCAAGTTTATCCTTCTTTCCTATTAAATGCCCCGGTTACATGTTTTTATAGTGCTCTAGACTATTCTTTTGATAGTAACTTGATGATGTTGCTTGCCTAACCATCTATCTCCTTCATTAAGTTCTTAGTTCTTTACACTGATACCTAATTTCACTTGGTGATTGATGAATTCCTAGTACTTAGCATATTGTCTTTCACATTGATTGGGATCAAATATATTTATTTAAGGTATTCTTTTAACCTTCGCAATATTATCAATTGAAATCCAAAAGTTATGGTTAACATATTTTAAATGAACATGACTATACATAACTTTTAGTTGTAAGAAATTTATTATTTAACATTTTCCACATGCATATTAAGGTAGGGCTAGTATATTACTTATGTGAATTTGTATTTTATAGATTTATAATATCCACAACTAAATTTGCAAAGTGGTAATTTATAACTCAAATTTAATTTCTACATGATTTACAATAGTCATCATGATATTAGAGTTACCATAAATATCTGATATAAACTAACAAATTAATAACATAATATAATGGCATAAAATCATTTATTTTAACAATTTTTAATTCATAGTCAAGGTATACTAGAGAATACTGGGATTTTGAAATTGACAAATGTGGATGTTGATTACTGAGTGAAATTGGACAATAATAAAAGCTACCATTTGATGAATGACTTGTATAGGTTTACATAGTCTAATTTAATCTTTAATTCTACCTTGTTAATTCAATACTACTATATTAATTTCTTTAAATTAATCTTTTTAATATATTCTTACCTATATAACAGTGGAGGGAATTAAAACTCATGTGGCCTAAGAACATAGAAAAAATAAATAACATTGATCCAAAAATCCAAAGATTATGCTTTTACATTTAGCTTTCTTTAGAGAATTTGAATTTTGTTGTGAGGATTACAGCTTATTTCTTAAGTAGTAAAGTGATTTGCCAGAGAAAACCCTTAATGAGTGTTAGTTACTATTTTTTTTTAATTATTTTAATATATTAAATCTCAAAATCCCTGTTTGTTTTCTTGCCCTCTGGCAGTAATGATACCTTCCAACAGAATTGACCCCTGACCCCTCCTTCCACATCAGTGTTGAGTGATGAATGAGAACGTTACTGCCACACTATTTCTATTTATCATCCTTCCATTCAACCATTTTATGTTTCCTTTTGCATCTTTACCTACCACCCTCCCACCATTCCTGCAGAAGTTGGGTGAAGACTCATTCTGAGTTTAGTCATTTGTATAACAGAATGTTCCATGAATATTTTACATATGTGGGAGCACTCTCCTCTTGGATTACAAGAACATGTTTTGTCACCAACAGGCACCTTAAGCCTTATGTTTGTAAGAAAATATTACACAAACATTATATTTGAACCATTTTTATTCTTAGTTGTTTTTAAGATTTTTTTTCTAAAACTAATCAGAGAGGGATACTTGTATCTGAAAAAAATTTAAACCATCCATAAAAAAGGATCTTGACTATTGCTGTGTTTCAGTTATGTTGAAACTTGGTATAAAAGACTGTAGTACGTTGCTGGTTTAATTATGTAATTATACCAGCAATTTTCAGAAGCAGGTGAGTATATATGGCAGGATGAGATACAACGTACCTTGACCATATTTTTCCTGGCCTTGGCTCACAAAGAAGGTGCCTAGCTGTTGGTGACACAGTTCTTGAAGAAAACAGGTAAGAATTTTCTATACCATTAAGTTAGGAAAAACTTCACTAACAATGTATTATTTTTCTGTTTTAAGGTATATTTTAAACAATTGAACTCTACTGTTTCTTGATCAAAATCCAGTCATCAAATCTACTTTCACTTTGGGAATAGAGAAAGAAAGCCAGTACCCAGGAGTCCCTGAACAAAATATCTGCTTAGAATTTTCCAGCAATACTGAAAGCCCATTTTGCAGCAATTCTTTATGACACTTTCATGATAGACTGTAAAACACAATTTCCCAAAATGACTGACAATTTAATTATGCTTGTGAGCCTGGTGGTTCTTCACAGCATGTTTATAAATGGAAGAACAACATGTAAACGGCACTTGATGGAAGAATGGAGTACACGGCCCTCAACATATGTGGTGAATTGGACAGTGACAGAAAACATCTGCCTGGAGTTCTATGGGGATTGCTGGTTTGGAGATGTAAATACTAAAATGAATACTTCTGGCAATCAAGTTGTTCCCCAGATTTGCCCTTTGCAAATTCAATTAGGAGACATCCTTGTAATTTCTTCTGAACCATCTCTTCAATATCCAGAAATAAATGTGATGAATGTTTCTGAAGCATCATTCATTGACTGTCTGCAAAATACCACAACTGAAGATCAGTTACTTTTTGGTTGCAATCTAAAAGGAATGCACACTGTTAATTCTCAGTGGCTGAGTGTTGGGACACATTATTTCATCACAGTAATGCCAAGTGGTCCATCCCTTTGTCAACTGGGACTTCGACTAAATGTAACAGTGAAAGAGCAGTTCTGCCAGGAATATCTGAATTCGGAGCTTTGCTCTGGGCATGGTACATGTCTTACTGAAATTTGGAGCAAGATATACAGCTGCCATTGCCAGCCTCCATTCTCTGGGAAATATTGCCAGGAGCTGGATTCATGTTCCTCTAAGCCATGTAAAAATAATGGCAGTGGCATTAATAAAAGAGAAAAATGGAATAAGCAAGGATATGAATGTATCTGTCACCCACAAATTTCAGGTAAGATTATTTTTTAAAGTAACATAATTCTATTAAAATAGTAAAATAGACTGAATTCATAAATGGTTAGTTACCAAAAAATAGGCTATGTTTTTAAGAATTTGGTAGATTTTTTAGAATGGGCTAAATTTGGATTCCGGGCATATAAAAATCCTATCAGGCATCCTTTTTTTTTTTTTTTTTTTTTTTTTTTTACGTGGGCCTCTCACTGTTTTTGCCTCTCCCATTGCAGAGCACAGGTTCCAGACGCACAGGCTCAGCGGCCATGGCTCACGGGCCTAGCCACTCTGCAGCATGTGGGATCTTCCCAGACCCGGGCACGAACCCATGTCCCCTGCATCGGCAGATGGACTCTCAACCACTACACCACCAGGGAAGCCCCAGGCATTCTTTAAAATAAAAATTGTGCTTATTTAAAGAGGATATCTTAAAAACGTATATGCTTTATCCTGAAATACCTATTTTTACATCTTTCCCCAAATCCACTCTTAATGTCTCATTAAAAAAAAAAAGATTATCAGGATAATATGTTTTAGTCATTAAATGAAATTCCCAAGGTTATGGTATTTGGGGCAAGCAGTTCTGGGTGATAATGTAGAAATGAAGTGTGACTCTAAGTCGAGGATGATAAGGACACACATTATTGGGACGAAGGTTTGAAGTTGCTTGGGAGAGTTGGAGAAGAAAGGATGATTGTGGACCCAAAGTAATGTTCTCAATGGTGTTGGTGTGGCACCTATAAAGTAATTGATAAATCAGAAGAACAATGAGGGAAAGAGAGTAATATAATTATCAACTTTTTTTTTTAAATTATTATCTGGTTTTTATAAGCTAAATGAGAGACAATGATGAGAAGCGTTTGCAAAGGAAGATATTTGGTGAGTGGATGAAGCAAAAAGAAGGACAACCTAAAAACAGTGTAAATAAACTAGGTTACCTGAGGCTGAAGTGAGGATTTAAGGGAAATAGACTATTCCTGTTTGAAAGTTCACTAAGGAAGTTGGGTCATCAGAGAAAAATGAAGAGAAACTTTGAGAAATGTAGGGAATATTTGACATTTGGGAATGTGTGAAAGAATTTCTTTCAATTACAGTTTCAGAGACCTGGCATGGAGAGTTACAAAGGTAAAAGGAGGATGATCTAACAAAGGGAAATGCCTGGCGTTGGCAATGATGGGATGAGAAGACACACAACAGACTAACAGCACATTTTGGTCAGGAGAGGGGAAGGGGGGTGAGAAGCAGATGTGACTGGAGCCAACTGGGCTCAGTGATATAACTGCAATTTTGTGGGGCATGCCTTAGGAGGATTCAATAGAGTTGTTCTTCTGTGTGACTGGGAAGACTCCCTTGAAGCTAGATTTGAGGAAACTGTGTGATAAAGTATAATGGAAGAACTCTATAAGCCATATTAGTCTCCAAAATTCACCTAAGCCAATCATATAAAATGTAATTTTAGACTCTTTAGGGAAGAAGTACTGAGGCTATTTCAGAAGTTAATCCCAGCATTATCAACTGGACATCCTTTCTGTATAACTGGGATCAAATTCTCATTTGACTCTACTGGCAGGGGTGATAAAAGATGTAAGTTAACCTGACTCATAGTATATCAGATAATTAAAATTAAGACAGGTCAGCAAAAATAAATAAATAAATAAATAAAAGCACTCAAATTTCTGATTTACAGTGAATGGAGAAATAATTTAATCTAGAGCTTCTAAAGTATACATTTTAACCTGTCAAAAGAATTTTAGAGAATATTTGACCAGAAAATGTCTACTACCTACATAATATTAACTGGCATAGATATAATCATAAATCATGGAATATTATTTCAATGAGTTATCATAATTGCATAGAATGGTTTTATCCCAATGTTTATTTCTTTGTTTATTAGAAACACAGCAGTAGATAATGTAAATAATCAAATTTTAAACTCTATAAAAGTATCTAACATTATTTATTTTTTAAGACATTGAGCACATACCATGACACTACTCTAATTATGCACAATTACTTCAATTTTAAACCTTAAAAGATACAGAAATATGTAAGATTACCAAGAAACTGAGAATGTTCACTATACTAGTTTGTTAGTGCTACCATAACAAAGAACCACAGTGTGAGTGGCTTCAACATTAGAAGTTTATTTTCTCAAAGTTCTAGAGATTAAGTGGTCCCAATCAAGGTGTCAGGAGGATTGGTTTCTCTAAGGCCTCTCTCCTTGGTCCATGGTCAGCCATTTCTCTCTGTGTTTACACATCCCTTTTCTCTGTAGTGCCTGTGCATTCTCTCCTTATTAGGACATAAGTCATTTTTAATTAGGACCCAAACTAGTGACCTCATTTAACATCTATTACCTCTTTAAAGACCCTGTCTCCAAGTAAGTCACACTATGAGGTCATGGGGGTTAGGATTTCAACATAAGAATTTTTTTGTGGGGGTGGTCACAATTTAGCTATTACACCCACTAAGACTGAAAGAGAACATGACCTATTGAACATACCACTGATACTTTAGCTTTTGTGTATGGAAATATTTTGGGGCACAGTTACTTATTGTAATTACTTATTGCTTATATTTTCATTGTGTTGGGGATTGTTTGGAGGTAAGTGAAGGAAGAAGAGTTCTGCATTAGTGAGGTAGAGATGTCAGTGTATAAAGAATTTCAAAAGCATGAACTGGTGAAAACTGCTCACAAATTAAATTAAGAATTCAATTAGAATGGGGGAAGTGGCAGGCTTATTGCCAAATCATGTGCAACTGTTTTGTAGTGACATTTGTCCATGTGTCATGCCCTGGAATTTTGTTGGCACATTCCTCTAATAAGGATATTATGAGATGATCAACTACATAGAAATATATGCTATGCAAGGTTGTGTTTTTTTGTGTAGTAGGACATGATAGCTTGTACAAGTGGGATTTGGAAAACTTGATATAGTAGGAAAGAAAGTGTAGAATTTAGAAGCTTGTGCATGGCTTCTGAGAATCCAAGCAGTCTTCCCTCTTTTCTTCCAAATATTTTTAGATTAGATTAGATTAGATATGAATTGATTTGATTTGATTTTACTGTGGGGAGAATGATTAATACGAGGAATTAATATGAGGTTTACCCTCAAACAAAATTTTAAGTGTATAATATATTATTGTTGACAAAAGGTGCAATGTTGCACAGCAGGTCTGTAGATCTTATTTTTCTTGCTTGACTGAAACTTTATGCCCTGGTTCCTCTTCAGATGGTATAATACTTTCACATTTTCCTTGTTTGAATCATTACCTTGGCTAGGTAGTAGGGCTAAGATACAATATATTATACATTTGAATGTGTCACTTTGTATATTACCACAGCAATGCTCCAGCATATGTTGAAGAATTAATACTTACATATATTAATATTATCTACATGATTAACACATTCAAATTATCATAAAAAATTAACTAGAGCTCAAATATCACCAATCAGAAAAATATTTTAATATTATATTATGCAGTGAAAGGATGGAAAAACTGATGTCAAATTTATTAAAATTAAGTTTTGTTTCCATTTAAATCCATCATCATGAAGCGCTATGTCTTAGTTAGAATTACACTATTCAAAATTTTTCTATTATTCATTATTAAAAATTTAGGAAAAATCTATGACTTTAATTAACTATATAAATATAATGTACATATTTTAATCTAGTTGAAACATTAATTTTCTTTTATTTTTATAGGCATAAATTGTTCAGAAATAATTGGGCAGTGTCAACCACATATCTGTTTCCATAGGAACTGCAGAAATATTACTGCAAATAGTTTCATTTGTGATTGTGAGGAACCATTTTCAGGTAAAAATACACATATATGTATGTATGCATACATACATACAAATAATTTTAATTTTGTCATTTATTTCAAATTAGACTTGAAATGTTTCATTTATTACTGAAAAATACAAGTTTAGTGGTTCTATACTCTGAGTTTTTTGAAGAATAAATTTAAGAGATCAATTTGTTTAACAATTAAATGATTATTCTGCTAAATATTGATATTTCATAATATATGAAGAGTTTAGCCACCAACTGAACAGTTTTTTTTTTGTTTGTTTTTTTACTATGATAAAATATATTTTGTTCTTAGGTACTAAAATATGTTTACAAAGAGTGTATATTTTGCCCATAGTTTGCAAAATTATATCTCTATTATTTCCTTATGTAACAGGTCAGTACAGACAAATCCCCTTTCATGAAGCATAAAAATGTTTTATTCCTTCTCAAATAAACTTAAAGATGTCAATAAAATCACTGTTTAAACCAATAGTTTCTTAACTTTTGATTAAATATTTAACAATGAAACTGTGTTTAAACCACTCTGATCTCATTTTTTTTTTTTTCGGTACGCGGGCCTCTCACTGTTGTGGCCTCTCCCGTTGCGGAGCACAGGCTCCGGACGCACAGGCTCAGCGGCCATGGCTCACGTACCCAGCCGCTCCGCGGCATGTGGGATCTTCCTGGACTGGGGCACGAACCCATGTCCCCTGCATGGGCAGAGAGACTCTCAACAAGTACGCCACCAGGGAAGCCCTGATCTCATCTTTGAACCCTTCCACAGTTTCCCATTTTCTGGGAAATATAACTCACAATCAGTGTATTTGTCTCTCTTCAAAATGTCTTTGGGTAGTGGTGTTTCCGGCCACAATTAGGTACCTAAAGACTCCTTTCATGGGAGTGAAACAAAAGTTAAGTGTCTCCCAAACTGCAGAAAGTGATAGCTCCCAGTGTTTCTCTTGCAGATCCTTCCATGTAACCTAGTTGAGAGAGATTTGAGAGTCTGGTAGAGTGTATCAGCCACTGCCAATGGTAGGAGGGATTGGTAGCAGTGCAGGTGGTAAGAACTCCAACAACCATCTTCAAAGAAATGTTTTCAGGGCTTTTCCCTTCAGGTCATTTATTTCCTGAGATAGGTTATGAGTTGTTAGGTGTTTTATAATAGCTTACCATATCCTGCAGTGTATGAAGAATATATAATTTATCTCCCAAACCATGGCATTTTTGAACAAAAGAGGCAGCTAAAAAGAGTTACAAATATATAATATTTGAAATATTTATTTATTCTTTGGCAAATTGGTTTCATTAAATAGGCAGACAAATAATGTAGCTCTATTCAAAAAAGTAATTTCTAAAATTCCTTCCAAAGACAATAATTGTAACTTGGTCTCTGCAAATCAAAAGGACATTTTAAAACATACTTTTTATTGATTATCTGAAACATTACAAAATAATATAAGCAGAAACTATATTTACACCTATTTTTCTGAAGAATGAGTATTTTTTCAATATTGTCTTATAATTATAAATTTTTATAAAGCTATCTGTACCCTCTTCAAAGTTGCATTTATGATTAATAAATTTGAAGTCATTTAATGCCTTCAGTTTACTCTTCTCCTAACTGTGCCATTTTAATTGAGAACATTTTCACAGAACATATTTTGAGGTTCTTGCTAACCTCAAAGGAAAATCTGCTAAATGTTAAGTATTCCCAATTATATTTTTTTGTATAAAATACATCAATAAAGTATGTCCATAGGAGCTATATTTTATTCTATTCAAAATTATTTTTTGACAAACATTTTCAAAGAGAATCCTCATGAAATAAATGGTCTCTATGTATGATTCCTTTGAATGTTTGGCAAAATGTAGGTGCTTCAATTTATTTCCACTATGTCCTAGCACAAAAAAATAATCTGTGAAATATAGGATTTTTGTCAAATGTTGTTCCCCATAAGTCCAGCTATTCCAAAGCCTAGTTATAACATTTATGATCTCGAGCACTTCTGAATTCATTGAGCTTAAGTTTTTCATTGTATTGTGTAGGAATAAGCTTTAATGTCTTTTAAAAAATAAGTACATTTCACTAAAACTTTCAAACACCAGTCTTTTGTTCTTGATTTATTGTTTTTTTGGTTAAATGTTTGTAACTGATTTTGAATGAGATGCAACCGAAACTTACAATATTTTCACTAAAATGCCAAAACCTCCCTGAAATACTGGATTTATTTTCAAAGTCATTCTTCACAAGTTTAAACATTTCTAAAATTTAAATGATAATGGACAATAGCAAAAGAAAGCACATTTTGCTATGTTACATTATTTTCAATATCAGCTTTATTCCAAAAATTTTAGTCTGTTGTCCTGTGAATATTTTAAATTAATTATAAATTTTTCAACTATAGATTCTATTCCATCTGTGTGAGCATCAAAACTGGTTTGCTTTAAAACTATGAATTATGTATGAACCACAATAAACTACAAGTACATTTTTTTCCATCCTTTTCTCAACTCGATCAAACAATGTATATATCATTATAAACTTAACAAAATTTATACTTATAATTTTAGCACAAGAGCACATAACTTTATCTTCGAACATTTTTAGTGAATTTTCAATAGCATTCCTAATATTGTCAGATGCCTTGCCTTCAACAGAACAAAACTATTATTGAAATAAACTGATTATGTATTTGAAACCTCTGACTTTACTAGTATAGACTGGTATCTTTTATCTTTGTGTCAATTTATTCTGCTAACTGAGCCAACACATTTATAACAATCGCTTTACTTTTAGTATGTACAGAGAAACTTGCAATAGAAAATTAGGAAAATAATTTTGCTATAGTTGTGTGATCTAAGTGAAAATACATGCTTCAGAGAGTGACATGTAAGAATACCTTCTTTATCTGAACTTAACTCATCAATGTGAGGGAGTCTTTTAAAATAATTACTAACATTTAAATAGATGCTGATGGTTTTTGAACTAAAACCTGTCTTCTGGTTTCATGTAGTCAGTGATGTCAACATACTCAGCAGTGGATCATTAAAGTGACATAGTTTAGGAGTAAACTCCATATTCATTATCAACTTTCTAGGGAAACAAATTTGAAACATACTTTTTATTTAAAAAATAATTTTTGATATCATTTCATTTAAAGTATTTATTGTAAAATAAGAAATGAATATCAGAAAACAATAAAATACAGTAGTTGTATATTTATACCAGAAGATTAAAAACTTTTTCCTGAAAAGGATCAGATAGTAAATATTTTATACTTTCTGAGCCATATGGTATCTGTCAAGGTAACTCAACTCTGCTATTGAGTTAGTAGTGTGAAAGCATCCATAGACATACATAAATGAATGAATTCTGTTATGTTTCAATAAAACTTTATTTACAAAATCAGGTGGAAGGTCATATTTGGCTCACAGTTGTAATTTACTAACCCCTGATTTATACCATAGAACAAACGATCAACTCTATAGCAAGGACATATAGACTCTCTACAAACTCCATGACAGGAATGTTTGTCCTCAGCTTGTCTCTCATATAAAATATAGACATAATCCATAATTTCCTGTGGTCCCTCTGACCCAGCTTACTTGCAGTGAGCAGCTTTAGATCTTTCTCCTCCAAGCTAAGAAGGAGGCGACTATTTGTGCCAGCTTGGTTTTCAAAATCCACAAGCGGCCCTATATGAGAGATATAATACCCCTTGTATCTGAAAAAGACTTAGAAAAAAGAGGTAGTTATCACTGGTTAACTTGCAAGTTTGTCCTCATGTTCAAATAAAATACTGCTTATGTATCCTAGAAAAGACCATGGCTGAATCTAAAGTACAAAGTAGAGATATATCAAACCCATTTGCTTACTTTAATGCAACTGTGAATATTACTTGGTGAGAAAATGCAGGACAAACGGTCATTTGATAATTGGGGAGAATTTATATCTCAGAAATAGTGTCCCACACTCCATGAGCATAAACTTGTGTTATTGTGGAAAAAAATAGATGATGACTTTATTAGAAGACCTAGTAACGATAATAGATTGAGATTTTTTTTTGGTATGTATTGTATTATTCTGTGACTTAAAGCCTTAGCCAAAAATGTGCAGGAAGTATCACATTTTTAAAACATAAAATATGTATGTAGACATGCATGCACGTATGTATGTAGGTATCTATCAAACATCTATCTATGTATCTATCCTTCTATATATGCAATTATCTTATACATACTTTCTAATTAATTTCTTCAAAAACCTTTAGGAACTAATATATGTATAATCTTTTTGCTCAGTGTGATGATCTGTGCATATTACTACATATTATCTGATATATGAAGCAGGATTCACAAATAAATTGAGACTATAGTTTTCTAAAGAATCATATTAAAGGTCATAAACTTGGTATTTCCAATGTCTTATTAATCAGTTATTATTACATAAATTAGCTTTTATGTTAAAGTCCCACTGCTCTTGAGTTTCACTCCAGACTGGGAATTTTGGAACTCATGTCTTTTGGAAATATATAGCTATCATGCTAGAAGCAGTTTAATAATCTATATCTAATGCAAATTTAAGTCAAGATGGCAAAGAAATAATGTGGAATACATCAATCATATTTTAAAACTACTGATACTTTAGGAAAAACAGATTCCTGATTTTTAAGACACCTCAAATATTGTGTTAAAATATACAGTACCAAATGTTAAAGACCTAAATGTAAGGCCAGACACTATCAAACTCTTAGAGGAAAACATAGGCAGAACACTCTGTGACATAAATCACAGCAAGATCCTTTGTGACCCATCTCCTAGAGAAATGGAAATAAAAACAAAAATAAACAAATGGGACCTAATGAAACTTAAAAGCTTTTGCACAGCAAAGGAAGCCATAAACAAGACCAAAAGACAACCCTCAGAATGGGAGAAAATATTTGCAAATGAAGCAACTGACAAAGGATTAATCTCCAAAATTTACAAGCAGCTCATGCAGCTCAATAACAAAAAAACCAAAC